ATTTAAGATCAACTTGTTCGATCATTTGACCGTTACGGTTATAAAACAATTTCTTGCTCAGTTATAAAACTGTTTTTTGCTCAGTTATAAAACCATTTCTGCTCAACTAGCTTGGTTATATAACCATTGCTACTCGACCGGCTCGGTCATTTGACCGTGGCAACTCAACTTGCTTAGTCGTTTGACTGTTACAACTCAACTTACTTGATTATAAAACCGTTTCTTGTTCGGTTATAAGACTGTTTCTTACTTGGTTATAAAACCATTTCCACTCAACTAGCTTGGTTATACAACTACTGCTACTCAATTTGCTCGGTCGTTTAACTTTTGCAACTCAATTTACTCAGTTATAAAACTGTTTTTTGCTCAGTTATAAAACCGTTTCTACTCAACTAGCTCGGTTATAGAACCGTTGCTACTCAACTTGTGGTTATAAAACCATTTTCACTTTACTTGTTCTGTCATTTGACTGTTGTGGTTATAAAACCGTCTTTACTTTACTTGTTGGTCATTCGACTATTGTGATTATAAAACCGTTTTTACTTTACTTGTTCGATCATTCGACCATTGCGGTTATAAAACCATTTTTACTCTATTTGTTCGATCATTCAACCGTTGCGTTTATAAAAGTCTCTTTTCACCATTTTTACTTTAGTTGTTCGGTCATTGGACTGTTGCGGTTATAAAACCATTTTTATTTTATTTGTTCAGTCATATGACCGTTGTGGTTATAAAACCATTTTACTTTGCTTGTTTAGTCATTCGACCGTTGTGATTATAAAACCGTTTTTACTTTATTTGTTCGATCATTGGACTGTTGCGGTTATAAAACCATTTTTACTTTACTTGTTCGGTCATTCGATTGTTGCAGTTTCTTAATCGTTTTATCTCATTCGTTCGATCAATCTGATTGTTGCGATTTTCTAACCGTTTTATCTCATTAGTTCAGTCATCCGATTGTTGTGATTTCTTAACTTTTTTTTTTACTTTACCTGTTTGGTTGTTCAGCTATTAAGAAAATTTTGACTTATTCTTGTCCTTTTTTTTTCATTTTTAATAGAAAAAAAAAAAA